AATTATTTGCGATTATGTATTTACACGAATTACTCACAAATTACATCACAAATCACGTGATTTGAATTGCGGAATTGTGGATTACTATGCAATATTGCAGATTTGAAAAAACAATTGCAGTACCATCCTTAATTAAATACATAATTAACAAATTCTATTTCAGAATTTATTAATAATTTGATAGGTTGTAATTTGGAATGTGATTTCATTTATGACTAGTAAGAAGTACTATATTTTTTTAAATTGTAAGATAATTAGGGTTGGTAAAGGTTCTAATTAATCCTAATTGGTCCTGATTAATTTTAAAAAACTATTAGATTTAAAGATTTAATTTTTTTAAATATTTATTATTTTATCAATTTTTTAATTAAAGTTACCTATTAAAATAAGTTTAAATTTCTTTTTAAAATTTTAAAATATCTTTAAAATTTTAGATGTCCTAGAATCTAATCCTAAATTAAGTATATTTTTAATTTTAAAAGAATTTTTTTATTTTAAAATTAATAAAATAATTTATGTATAATAATGATATATTTATTATTAAGAAATTTAATTAAAGTATATAAATCAAAATTATCTTTTTAAGACCAATTAGAACGACTTTAAAGATAATGCTTGATGATTATTGGTTAAATTTATTTAATATAATCACGTGAACAATAAATCTCACAAGGATTCTATAATGGCTTAATATCTGTCTCTTCCCTTATTGTCGATATAGATTTATTATAATAATTGACAGAGTTTTATTTAACGCAAAGATAAAATATTTAAATAAAGGGATTGTTAATTGACATTATCATATTCGAGATTCTTTTATGATAAGTTAAAAAATAAAATATAAAAAAAAATAAAATTTTATTAATAATGGATGAAAATACTAATAGAATATGGAAAGGGAAAGCTTGACGTAACCGAAGATCATAATTCGCAATGCTCTGTAATTTTTTTTTAGCTTTTAATAAAAACAAAACAGAACATAATGGGGAATTTTCTTTTTGTGTAGATTATTTCTTATTGTTGAGCACTATCATTTTTGAAAATATAAAACGTAAAGGTGTTGAAAATGTGTAAAATAAGTTTCAATCATTTTAATAAAGTTTTCTGTATTTATTTAATGAAATGCAAGTTTATATTACAAATTAAAAAAAAATAAAATAAAAATAAAAAAATAAAAAATTAATCATCCCCCGCAATATCTCCACCTTCTACGTTCTCTTCCTCTACATGAGAAATGTTATACATTTAGAAATACATTTTTTAAAAAAATTATTACAAATTATTAAAGGTTGCTTACCTCCATCTACAGATGTTATTTGTGCAAGCATCATATTTTCAAGGATGACTTCCTCATATGATGGAGGACTTTCATCTTCTTCTGATCGTCGTTGTTGCTGTTGTTGTTGTTGTTGTTGTTGTTGTTGTGGTTGTTGTGGTTGTTGTGGTTGTGGTTGTTGTTGTTGTTGCTGTCGTTGTCGTTCTTGTTCTCTTTGCTGTTGACGAGCAATTATCATTGATCTTCTGGCATAATAATGTTTTTTTTTTTAGCCATTTTTTAATTTTTTTTGTTTGAAAATTTTAAGTTAAAAAAAATGATTTTTTTTTTTTGTGAAAATAATTTTGACGAGTAAGTGCTGTTTATATATTAAATATGAGTTCACATCGAGATGTCACGTTTTATGAGTCAATATGAATGATTACATGAGCAGATACACGCTACTATATCGCATTATTTATTTTTAAAGCTCTAAAACTTAAATTTTTATACAATATTATTTATATTATTCGCAACCATTTTTCTTAGTATTTTATTATTTATTTCAATATTTTTTTTTTGAATTATCAAATTGACAAAATCTATGTGAGAGTAATAATTTTTACTTATTCGATTATTTTTAATTTAAAACGTAATATCCCAGAAAAATACATGAAATACATTGCACGGATCGACATTCAAATACAATGCAAAGAGTTGACACAAGGACTTTAAAATGATATTTGATTTTGCAGATTTTGACGTGCATTTTATTCTGGCGGCTTAAAATTTCGTGAATTGGTAAATTTAGGAATATTACAGATCGAACATATTTCTACAGTGGAAGCGGAACGCAAACTTATGAATGTTGATGTTAGCCTATTTTCTCTGCACCTTTATAATTTTGCATTTTTTGAATAATCTCGTTACTTTAAATTAACTAGATAATGAAGAAGACGTTAATTTACATCTGCGAACGTAAGCCCTTTGTACTTCTATTTATAATATTAAGGTTGTTCTGAATGATTTAATTCAACCAATATAATCGAAATGCCTCTGATAAAAATTTTTATTATAAAAGGAGCAAATAGAGCACATACTTATAAACCATTTTATCACGCAGGAATGTTTAACAAACATGCTATTCATTTTTATAAGTATTTATGGTTTATTTTAAGTATATACGGTAAAAATGATTATTTCATATATTTTAAATACTTACTTTATTTTATATTCTAAGATAGGAAATTTACTTATTAGAGCGCAAATCGCGTTATAGACCTTGATAAAGCGATTATGTATCCAATTATAGTAAACGAATAAAGGAAAACATTTACAATTTGAGATATTCATATTCAAATTCATTTTATATTCTCAATCTATCTATTTTTTTTATTAACGTTAATTGACAGAATTTAATAATTTTCAGAAAAGGAATCGATTAATTTGGTTGAGTTTGTTATTTGAGATAAGTCTATATGAAAAATATTATATTTTTTGATCTATTATTTTTGTATATTAGATTTATTTAGTTTCTGGTGAAGACAAGATGAGAAAGGAAGTGCTAGAAGGTATAATGAAATGAAAATTGGTTTCAATATTTTTTGAATAATAAATTACATGTTCATAAAAAGATTTTACATAAGAAGAAGCCATCAGCGAATTAACAGCACTTATCTGCAAGGAATTCCTTCAAGAAAATCTGCCAGTAGTAATTGACTGCCGTCCAATTGTTCCGACCTATTTCACGGATCAAAGTAATATTATAAAGCGAACTAAGTGACGTAAAATTTGTAATTTTTAAGTTTGTACGTCGATGACGTGATATGAAGTGAAATCGCGTCTAAATGCATTTTCCGCATATTTCTCTTTCCAATACTTCTTTTCCAATACTACTTTAATAAAACTTTAATAAATTATTGTGAAAGTTAGTTGATGAAGCTTATAACAGCATACCATTATTTCCAAAATTTGTTATTATTATTTCATCTCTCATTCTCATATTTTTTTTAGGGGAGAGATTCACCGAGAATTTTAACCGTCGTAGTGGATGATTCATACAAGAAATATTCACTACGTAATTTTTTTTTTGAAGTTCTTTGATATTGAAAATAAATTTCTAAAATATGATATGGCGCAGATATCTGTTTATATATGGGTCATGGACTAGTAAATGCCCTCTGATCCTTTCGTCGTCGAAAATTTTTTTTATGATTTTATATAAAGTTGAATATGCTGAACTATATGATAATCCAATCTTTAAACATATAATAAATTATCGAAATATTCAACATAAACTTTCTTTCGACAATCTAAAATTGCATTTTTAATATTTTTTCTCAAAAAAAACAATAATTTACCGGAGGGGCATTTTTTGCTAGTCCATGTATAATTATATTTCTAAAAATTTCCAAGTCATTAACTTCACATAATTAACGTAGTTTGATTGCCAGCACTTTATCTTGTGATAGTACTTTGACAAACGAACTTCTTAATTAAAAAAAAATCATTATACATATGATATGTAATTGATGTTATTTTTTTTATCACGGAAAATGTAAAATATGAATGGTCGTTGATTTAGAGATCCTTATCGAGCACTTTATTTTTGATTCAGTTCAATATCAAATTAAAATCTTGTATTCCAACAATGTGTCTTTTTAACTTAAAAAAAGTAATATTAATACCGATTATTGATTATCGTTATAATATAATTTCAAAATTTTTCTATAAAATCTTAAATTATGTAATAATACTACATCAAAAATTAATAGCACTTCGTGCCGAATAACTATTATATTTAAATCAAATTGATTGGTTGATTCTGGGCTTCTAAGTGCCGGATAAGTAATTTATCCGGTGTCCCATTATTATGAAAAGCCTATTGTTTAATATTTTAAACTATTATTTATTTAAAAAATTTTATCGCTTTTTTCAATGGAAAATGTAAGTATTACATTTTTAAGTTATAAATCATTATTAGTTATAAAAAATAATTAATACTCCACATTTTCATCCCATCACCTTCTTCCTCTAAAACGAAAAAAAAAATACGATAAATGTTATACAATTAGAAATATTAAAAAATTATGATAAATTATTAAAGGTTGCTTACCTCCGAAAATTCCTAAAATCTCTTCGAGCAGTTTTATTTCTTCTCTCATAGAAGCTGCATCGACGGAGCTCTCCCGGTTTCTGCGAGCATCCTCCATCATAACATCTTCATATGATGGAGGATCTTCATGCGATGGTTGTGGTTGACCCATCACCTTCTTCTTCCTCTAAAACGAAAAAAAAATATGATAAATGTTATACAATTAGAAATATTAAAAATTATGATAAATTATTAAAGGTTGCTTACCTCCGAAAATTCCTAAAATCTCTTCGAGCAGTTCTATTTCTTCTCTCATAGAAGCTGCATCGACGGAGCTCTCCCGGTTTCTGCGAGCATCCTCCATCATAACATCTTCATATGATGGAGGATCTTCATGCGATGGTTGTGGTTGACCCCATCACCTTCTTCCTTTTAAAACTGAAAAAAGGTTGCGAACCTCCTCATTCGAAAGCCCTCCTAAATTCCTCCGCTTCACGGGCCTCCTCCTCTTCTATCACTTGTAAAAGTATTACACTTTGGTATGACGGAGGTGGGCTTTCTATACTTTCATACGACGGTGGTTGAGGTTGTGAATGTTGTTGTCGATGTTGTCGTCGTTGTCGTTGTCGTCATCGTGCTTTTTGTCGTTGTTGTTCCTCCGCGAAACGAGCCTCCTCCTCTTATATAATTTCGTAAGATATAGGAGGACTTTCTAGGACTTACTGCCCTTTCCATCAAAATTTGTTGTTGCTGTTGCTGGCGGCGTCGAGTTGCCACCATGGATCTTCTCGCGTAAAAATTTTTACGGGTACCTGATAATTTTTTTTACCCATATTTGTGTTTAAATAGTTAAAAAATTTTTTAAAAATAATTTGGTGGTTTTTATCAATGTCATTTGCGATCGACTTGCATATTCTTGATCGTGCAACTATAAGCAAAAAAAAAAAAAAAAATTAATATATCCAATGAAATTGACGTTATAAAAAAACCTGTTTAAACTTGGATCAGTATGAAGAATTCTTGTCATTGCCAAATTTAGACATATTTGCATTACATAATGCTAGTATAAAATTATTAATAAAAAGAATTTTTTTTTTTTGTTTAGTTTAATGGTGGGTGATCGGATCTGGATAATATAATGTTCTCAGTCAATTTGTTCCCTGGACAAAAGTACCTTTTAGATTAGAATTTTCAAATAAAACAATTAGCCGCAGCAATTTCGCAACGATATTTTGTGAATGGAAACGTTAATAATATATTTTACTACATTTTTTTTTATATTGTGTAATCATGGATAAAAAATATTATCTGATCTATTACATTACATTACATATTATATATTTTATTACTAACGAATGTTATAGAACTTTTTAGCACGCCCAGCCCATATGATTCAATTTTTTTTTCTCCTGATTATGCAAGTTCCTTTTTTTTTTTTTTCCTCATGATTACAAATAAAAATGTTTATCGATCATTCACTATTTGAGGATTTACGGCATGTCAGTATAACTCGTTACTAAGTATTTATTAAGTAAACAGTTACTCAGCCTCATAACTGCGGCAATATCGTGCCTTACTGGTAAGCACATTTTTGTTATTAATATCTCGTTTATAATTCCTGAATGTGGTTGAAATTATTGAATTTTATATAAGATTTCTAGAAAATTTCCTTTTGTCATTATTGTATAAAAATCAATAGAACATTAAAAAGGCTTTTAAATTTTTGGAATTTAAGTCTTATAAGCGCGTTGTCCAAACGTGTAATCTTCTACGATTCGTATAATTCTTATAAATATCAAATAGGATATTCAGCGGAGAAGAGAGTATTTCGGAAGAATTATGAACAACTTGTTTAACGTAAGTAAAACACAATATTAGAATAATTCACTTTATAAATTTGAAAATTCAGCCTTAGACGATGACCCGAGTATTTATTTCCTTTTTTTTTATTTATCAATATTTTTCTCTTAAATGTCAGTTTATTATTATTTTCTAGATATTAAATTATACCAAATATGCTCTAATGACATTAATTAATAAAATACTTTAGCACTTTATAAAACCATATGTGAAATTACTACACCGTCAACATGGCATGGTAACGACATGTTCCCAATTGTTCATAAGAATTCTCTCATTAATAATGCTCCTTCTGATAATACGAGCTGTACAGAAAAATAGAATTGTTCAAATCAATTTTAGTTAACCAAGAAATTCGTCTTTCTTAATGTAAAATAGAGGTCACTAAAAGAAATTTAGAAAGATAAAGGCTGTATAATTCTAATTCTGCTGTAATTATTTCCAGTATTCAAGCGTTGAGATCGAAGCAGAATAATGATTATGATGTTCTCCTTCTCCTCTTGCAATCATCAATAACTGTGCCGTCGAAAAAAGTTCTCAAACATATATGATTTAGCAAAATATTAATAGTATTGAAACAAGAAATCATGAATAGGTAGGTTGAAAGTGTCATGAAAAAGGCTAATTAAATTAGCTTAAGAACACATTTTTAATGATCTTCGTTCTGAAATTATGGTTAGTGATGATGTACTGTTAAGTATTAGTATTAAATAACATTAGTATGGGAATCTTTCCCCCCTTCTTCTTCTTCCTCGTCCTCCGACATTTCCGCCTCTATTTCCCCTTTAAAATGAAAAAATATTTATAAAAGATATAATAATAATAATAAATTTTGAAAAAAATAATGATATTAAAAGATAGCTTACTTTCTAATGTACGCATCCTCTCCTCGAGAATATCAATTTCATGCTGGCCTTACTCATTGATACAACGTATCCTAGCATCACTAGCTTAAGTACGAACTTGCGCAAGTTCGCGCTTATTGTGTCGTCTTCCACCATCACCAACAAAAATGAAGTGGCCGCTCTTGTCATTGTCGTTGCCGTTGTCGTTGCTGTTGTATGTTTTGTTGCCGTTGATGCCGAATCTATTAGTGCAACAAATCTACTCTTTGTCGCTCTTCCCGCTCCCTTTGTCGATGTAATTGTCTGTCAACATTTAAAAATTCCTTTTTACTAGTTCTTCCCATTTTTAATGTTAAATTGCGAAAGTTAATGAATTATACGGCAGGAGAAATTTTTAAATAAAAGCAACAAAAGATTTTGTTGTTTATATAATCTAAATAAAAATTAATTAATTAGGACGTTGGATGACGTTCATAAAGTTAATAAAATAAAAAAATTTATGATACAAAATTTTTACTTCTACATAATATAGTAAAATGGCTATTTTATTTATATTGACGTATAGTCTCTGATATTCTCATTATATTAAAAAAACTAAAAAATCAAAAAAAAAAAAATATTATTTATGTATAATAATATAAATAGTAAATCAAAAAAATTTACGTATAGGTTTTTTTTTTTAAAAAAAGAACAAAATTAATAGACCAATAAGGCGTATCAAATACATTGCAGCAACAACAACAAAGATGATGTGACAGAAGGAGAGATTGTGCCGCTTTAAAAGCTAAAATTAGAAAGTTGGAGCTGGACTAAAGATCCTTAACCTGTTAAAATCTTAAAATATAAGTAAGATCTTGATGCAAGAACCTTCTCAACATCAAATATTGAGCAAAATATAAAAGGTTAGAATAAGATAAGCTATTTTTAAATTTTTATCATAAGCTTGTTTTTTCTATTATTATATCTGTTTAAAAAGACAGAGAAGAGAGAGAAGAAAGAGATGAAGGTACGGAGGAGTCATAATAATTATTTTTATTATTTTTATTTTCATTAATAAAATATCATATAGGAACGTTGCCAGTAAAGCCTTTTAAGTCAGTTGATATTAACATTGAGTTACGAGATATATGGGACCTTTTGCAATAAAAGTCAAATTTGCCAATTATGAGCTGAAAAATATTCATATTACATTAACTAACTAATTTTTCCTTTTGCAAAGATCCCATACATTGTCTCTATTGATAGTTATTTTCCATTCACCTGAATTTAACGATACACAAAGAAAATTGTTGTCCAACTATAGTTTAGAAATAAAAGAAGTGTAAATATTACCAAAATAAATTATATATAGTAACATGAAAAAATCTAAAATTAGCTGTCCTTATTCAATATCTTGATACCATCTTTTTAGCAATATTCCTTTTTATTTTAAGGCAATAAATTACTCGAAAATGAGAAGATTTTATACGTAACTTCCTCAAAGAAAATTAGATTTTTGACGTATATGAAGTAAGTACTACTGTATTTTAGATCTTATGTATATAAACCCTAAAAAAGCTGATCTACCTTTTAAGATATAAATAACCATTTTTTTTTAAAAAAAAAAGTTATGGCGTATAACCAGATATAATGCAAAATAGAAAATAGACAGCTTAATTTGTTAAATAATGAGACGAGTCGACCCGCTATTTTAAATTAAAAATTACTTTTACATTTTATCATTTTTCTACTTACAGTGTCACTCTCGGAAATTGACTGCGCCGCGTCGCGGCAATTTTGCTGTCACACAAATTCGGACTCCATGGAATGTATATGGGAACCGTTTTTGAAATTAATAAGCATTTCTGTCATTCAAGCCGCAAGAAATGGATCTTTGCCAAAGCCATAGAAAGAAAATTTATTATAAAAAGAGAGATTTCCTTTATCGTAGCCAATGATATTATTCAGAATCTCCACTATAGTAATTTCATCATCCGAATCATCCAATAAAAGTTATCCTATAATTAGATATCATTTTTCAGTTTTCCTAAATTTTTGAAGTTATACAAAAAGAAATAAAAAAAAAGACAATTGTGTTGCATTTTAATAGTTGTTATAAATTCCTTTTTATATTTTTTAATATTTAACTCCGCTCATGTGAATACCGGTAAATAACTTTTTATTCATAACTTTTGATTGACTAAATTCAAATGTTTATTTGAAAATAAAAGGAAGCTACAATTATTTTGATAGAATTCCCTTTAATTTATTAAATTGTAAATGGTAATTTATCTTATAGTTTCGAATTTATCTAAAAATTGCAATCCGACTTAATTCATCCCTAAGAATAGGACATCATAAAGTCTGGAATTTTAGATATAAAAATGATGTTTGTTTCTGCCTGTCTGGCGATTATAATTTTTTCCTAATCTCTAAATACAAATTACATGAAAAAATCAAACCGATATGTTTTATGTTTAAATCATCTTTTTGTGAACAAAATTTCTTTCGTCGTATCCAAATATATCAAAAATAATTGTTAAAAAAAGTTTAAAAAAAATTTCTTTCACAACATTATTAAGATAACTAATGCCTTATGGATTGTGAAAAAAAAAAACATTATAATTTTTCGTGAAAATAAAAAAACGAAAAAAACACTACACTCGTTGAGCTTAAGTTCAACTATCAGAAGCGAACCTCTTAACAACCGGATTATCCTTCAACAAAAAAAGGAAAAAAAATTAAATATATAATTTGCTGGGGAAGTATTGTTTCAAGAAATATAAGACCTCCAAAGAACAACGAATCAGCGACTTATTCAGTACCACGACGACGACTTCGAATATGCCTCACACAACCGAAATCAAAGAATTTGGCAGGATTAACAGCGATTCCCGGTCAATGCCGTTTCAAGAAATATAAGACCTCCAAAGAACATTAGAAAAAAATTAAGGAAGTAAAAATTAAATGTATCATTTGTGGAGAGAAGAATCGTTTCAAGAAATTTAAGAACGGAAAAAATAACATTTAACGTTAAGGAAAAAATTAAAATATATTATTTGCGGGAAGAAGAATCGTTTCAAGAAATATTTTATCTTTACGTAATTTTCATTCTTATTAATCGCATTTTTAACATAGTTGAATATTTTTTATATATTAATAATTGAAAATAATTTCCATTACGATATTGTTGGGCTTTTATGTGGGACATAATGTAGGACAGTTACAGAATAGAAAGTGTATATCGTTTTGACAATTTGTTATCTTTTATCAAAATAAAAACATCATTTTTAGATAAATTTAAGACAATAATAACTTCATTTCCCTTCCCTTAAAGGAAATCTATTTAAAATTTAATTGAAATTCCATCTCATAACGCAACACAAAAAAAAAACCCTTTTTATATATATAAATTATGCGTTCTTAAACCATTAAAATCGAGTGGACATAAATATATTTAATATATTTTCTAAAAAAAACAAATTGTTCTTTTTATGGGAAAAAAATATATTTTTACTAGTGAAACCCTCCGTGTAACGCTAACATGAAAATTTTATTTTCTTCCAAAATAGGGAAATTAACCAAATAAGTTGATTTGCATGAATGATTTTTATCCTTTTTATCCTTCAAATTTTTTTTTTAACCTTTTTAACCATCAAATTCAACATTTGAAAGTAATAAATCTAACGACTGGGTGGCTAAATTCCGTATTCATGATTTAATTTTATGAATATTCCACCTTTTGTGTTTTTATTATCCCCTCAAAAAGCAAAGCATAAAAATATCTAATTATTATAAATTCTTTATCTTAAATCGTAAATTACAGAATGAAAACTAATTTTAAAGGTACATTAATTGTTATTTGGTTTAATTAAGAATTAATGTATAACACGAATTATATATTCAGATATTAAATATATCTAAATCAATCAACAACATTAATGTTGGTTAATTGTTCGCATATGTTCGCATATTACGTACGAAAATTACAAGAAAAGAACAAACTCTCCATCACTATTACAATAGGTTTTCATCTAGTGCAAAAGATATTGGCGAATTTTAAACATTGCTGTGCTGTTAATATTGCAACAACCAGACCAGTCATGTTGAACCACAACTGACTGTTCTTGAGGGAAGCTCCTTTCAATATGCTCCAGGAATTAAAGCCTTATAAATGTAGAGATTATGCTCATGAAGATTATGGTTTTATCCACAGATGGAGTAAATGAATATTCAGACGAGAAGTTCGGTGGTAATTTGCGTACCAACTTAGCTTTATCGTTTTTACGATTTTGAATCATAAATAGAGGATGCACTTGTTGATTACTAAAATCCAACAATATACTATAAAATGCAAATCTTTAAAAAATCTGTTGAAGCGCACCATATGAAATAGGCAAAATACTTACCTAGTACGTAGAGACTACCAATGAATATTAAAGTTTAAAAACAAATCTAATAACACCGAGTAGGATATTAATGAAATTTCGGTGGAGATTGGAAATTCCTTCAAGCATTTCAACATTGAAATCTGGTAATTTAAACGTAAATTTTTTAATGTTGGTGAGAACAAATTCTTCCGGAAAGCTGATATCTAACAAAATATAACTTGTTTAAGTATTTTGGTTGACTAAGAGGATTATTTATACAATGCGGTTTCCACTTTCAAAATCAGGTATAACATTGTTTTCAACTAAAGCTGGTTTGAAGCGCCTTCATATTCTCAAGATGCAATAGCACCGGCATACCCTTTTTCTTTAAAATCGAGCAAGGCTCCGACGACTTCGAAAGGTTGGTTTCAATTAATGAGGCTTTGATGAGAAAATACTGCTGGTCAAAGTGCAAGTGATGCGAGCGAGAAAATAATTTTTTTTGATCATCTGCCTGTATTATTGAAGTTTCTGCGACATTCATTAATTGTTATTAATTCTCGTTTTTGCTTTGAATTTCAAATATAATCAGTTATGTATAAAATTTTGGTTGGAAGCTTCCAATGCAAATGGTTTATAAGAAAATTATGCTTTCAAACCTTCCAAAAGTGCTTCCAATATTGCTTCCAATCTTCCAAGAAAAACATCAATGTCCTAGTGTACTAGCTGTGGAAAATTCTGGAGTTGGCTCAGTCGGTCGTTATACCCTTTCAATCGACTCAGCGTCGTCTGAGTCGCGACTTTCATTTGAAATTAACAACCATCATTTATTATTAACGTCTTAATATACATTCGGCTAAAAATTTGAAACTTCTATTTAATTGAGAATTTCGCGTTGTTGACATTATATCAAATTCGGAATAGCGAATCAGTCACAGTTCAATCATTTGAAATTCCAAATTCGACTCGGTTTATTCAATTTATAATTGTTCCATTGGGACGATTTAATTCTTTTCTCTTTTTTCTTTTTCATAGTTATTAGGCCCGGCACCTTTGCCTTTTAAAAATAATTATGATAAAGTAATAATAATAATTTTTGTAATAATTAAAACTCCTCTTCAAAAATAGTGGTGACCACTTCTCTATAAGTCTTTATTTCCGTAAGAACATTTTTAAGTTCAATAAATCTTCTAAGACATTGTATGAGAGTTGCATATTTAAATCTCTACACCTAATTTGTCAATTTTGAAAACTTGATTTAATTTTTATCTGTACATATATGACGTGATACGACAGATTTTAAAGTCAAATTATAACCTAGTTTTGGTTTAAAGGAAATTGGAGAAGCTAGCAGAAAATCGACTACAACAAAAACTAAATCGCACCAGTTGTAGGTGGTTCAGAATATTATTGGCAACCGTAATGACAGAGACAGATTCAACAACTATCTGATATATATTATGCAGCGACAGAGATAAAAGATTTAGAAAGAAATTTCCACAGGGTAAAAGATCATCGTTATTCTTAACGTTAAAGTGAAAAATAATAAAAAGATTTATTAAATATTTTATTTGTATGGCGATAAATATTGAGGCTAAAGTTTTCAGCTACAACAACAATTCCTGACGCTTTTGCCGCAAGAGGAAACACGAAACAGCTAAAATCGAGTCGCTTTTGCCGAATAAAGTGATTTGTTGAGGCAGATAAAATAGGTCAAATTTTATATGTCTCTGGTATTAATTTCTTTTTTTTAAAAAAAAATTCAGACGAAGGGTGGCAGAAGTTTGATATTGATATATTCCTTATATATTGCCATTTTTATTATTATATAGCTGATTAGCATTTTAATTATATTTATTTTTCTGGATAATTTTACGCATCAATTTTACTTTTATAACTTGAATTGTATAATAACTTATCTCCCATATATAGATTTCGCGAGCCTACCAAACGAATCAAATAAACGAATTTTTCATTTGAAAAATTTGAAATTTGAAATTTGAAATTATTTAAAAATTTCACAATTTATTTTCACCAGCGAAGCGAAGTGTACATTGAAATGTATGATTTTGAGTCATTGTATTTTGATGATCCTAATATGAAAAAAATAAAAAAATAAAAAATTTTTTTTTTCAAAGAAATTTGTACTTTCTATGGAAATCAATTTCTTGAAATTTCATTTTTTCTTACATGAATTGATTCTCATTTTTTTGAATTCTTCAACCAGGTTTCTCTCTTGGACCATTTCAACTGTGAGGTTTTCATTTTTTTGAATTTCCGAATAAAGTTCGGTAAGCTTTTTATTTTTATTTTTCTTTCCTTTTAATTTGGCCCTGAGATTTCTGACACGATTAATCTTTTTCTCTTGACTTTTTTTGAATCGACGTTTAGAAGGCATTTTGATTTTAATAACTGAACAATTTTTTTTTTTTGGTGAGAGAAAAATAGAAATACTCTATTTTATATCAATGTTAACCATGAGTACCTTACAATTGTAAACTTAATGTGACATCGAATAAAAACTTTATTGATAATTTGTTAAGGGGTTTTTATTTGCTAAATTACCAATATCCCTTGCCATTTTAACAAAAAAATTTATTGAACACATTTTAAAAAATTCCAAGTAAAGAATCCTTAAAAAGGTTAACATTTCTTAATAGATGTCAAAATACGTCTTATTTCTAAAGAAATTTGACCTTCATGAAACTATTAAGGAAAGCAACAATAGAATTAAGGGAGAAACATGCAACAGTGAGACGGTTAGTGATAAGCGAAGGCGAGTAGTTAAAAAAAAGCGACGTGCTTTCTTATACGACCCAAATACTCAATTATATTTGAAATCTTTGACATTTACACTATAATTAGCCTAAGCACCCTTTTTTCAAATCTTGTAAAACCTGTTTCAAGAGAAAGCGCCCATTACATATGAATTTCTATATTAGTGGTGATATTCACATGAACATATTTATATTTTATTTAAAATAATAATATCACGTAAATTGTGTAGGAAATTACATTTATTTATTCCTGAATAACGAATAAATTTTTTAAAAAAAATGATCGTAAATCACGTGATTTATTAGTTTTTACATTCTACGAACTAATTATGAAACATTGAAATATCCTAAAGGTTCATAATATTATTTGCAATTTTTTTTTTAATTTTTCTGAAGATTCTAATTAATATTACAAAACTTCTAATTTTAGATGATCAAATTGGGTGATCTTAAAAACTATAAACTCTTAAAACATGTTTACTTCCGCCGTTTTTAGATATCTTTTTGCACGTTTACTGCATACTATAATCGGATTTAATCTTCGAATCATATTCTATTTTTTTTTGGTTATCCTAATATTCTTCTTGCTCCAATTTCATTACGAAGAATAATTGATATTCTTCCTGTTAGATCTTTATATACAGTAATTAAGCTATTATAATTGTTTAACTAATTTCATTCATAAAATGTCTCAACGACCTTCAAAAAAGAAAAAAAATTCAAAAGAAAAACACCGAACGAAGATAAGAAAAGAAGAATTATAAAAAAATAAAGATAAAGACTTGTTGAGCTTCGTACGGAGTTTGATGATCGGAAAGTACCAGTTTTAATATTGTAGAATGCGACGCAATTAAGTGCAGAAAATAGAAAATTGATGTATGAGCTGAATTTTTTATTAAAAAACCATTCGAGTTGAGATGATTCATCAAAAAAAAAAAGAATCTTAATCTTTTAATAGAAACAAAAAAGAAACGAATCACACGTTACAATGGGAATATTTATTTTGTGTAAATTGTTAAGCACTATCATTTTATTATATATTGTATTGTATGATATGAATAAAAATGAATTTGTAAAACTTGAGTTTCCAGCCGATTTTTGGTACAAACTGGACCTCGCTACTCAATTAATTAATTATATGGGAGCTTTGCTATTAAAAATGGATTCCGGGGACTTTTAACAAAAAATGAGATTTTTGATTCATATTATAGT